AAAAAAAAAAAAAAAAACTTTAAAGTAGTTCACAAATGGCAGAAAAGGTAACCCCAAGTGGTTGTAGATCAAGATATTTCACTAATGTCATATCTGCCCTACCTATCTAGACAAAAGAGTTTTCTAAAGAGGTCCAAAATAGCCTACAACGGGGCATTTGCATAATTAGCCTTTTTTAAGTCAGTATTTAGATTTCATCCTTGTTAGGCCAGTGAACTAAGTTTGTCGATAATAATAAAAAATAAAGGTTCATGCTTCTACTTTTAGAAGCTAATTTTAATCCACTCAGTTTATGGAAAAATAATTTAAGGAATCGCCTTAAAAGGGTCATACAATGCAAATAATCTGCTTTCTGGTAACTAATTTATGTTAAATTAATTTCCTTCTTAGATAAAGATTAAAAATAAGAAAAGGAGAGCATAGATGACTAATTTCACAAAGTTCAAGAGAAAATTTAGACTTTTTTTTATGTTTCTTACTTACATGGTAATTTAAAATGGTTAGTATATAAATAAAATATACCAAATGTAGCACCTTTGAAAATAAAGGCATATATACTACATTTGGTAATGACAAGATCATTTTTGCACAATCTTTTAACGGATAACATAAATAATTAATTTTGTAAAGTTTAAATCTACTTTACCGGTAAGAGCTCTTAATGAATGAGCACCGAGTTTGATTCTAACTCTTCAATTTATGGGTAAAGTTAAACTTTTGCCAATTTTATTTTTTTGATTTTTCATTCGGTGTCCGGTACCATATTGCTGCCAATTAAATTCGAAATCGCGCCAGAAAGTCCCACATTTGAAGTAAAGCGTTCTCTAGCAAAAACGATTACGTACCAAGGGCTCGAACCCGGGACTTCTGATTAAATATGATGGATACTTACCACTCCACCACAACCCGGGGTGATTTTGCCATTTTTTTTTTTTCACTCTCATGCACTGAAATTCAAAATGTGATACTTTTGCCACTAAACTGTCTCCTGAGACATCCACTTGTTGTTTCTGAGGAGAAAAAGAAATAAATAAAGACAATGTGCACCATAAGTGAAATATGTAGTGCTAATAAAGTAGGTGTAATAGCATGGACACAATTTGCCAAATTGAAGAAGACATCCAAACAGAAAAATTGGAATTTATTGGAGGAGAAGAAAAATACATTTATCATTTTATTACATTGACTCCAAAATGAATATTCAATTATTTCTTTATTCATTCTTTTCCTTTTCTAGAAACGAAGAATATTCTATTCTGAGTTAATGAAGAAACTAAAGAAAAGAATGCATCAAGTTAATTTCACTAACAAAGATTGCATATTTTCCATGGACATGAATGAAAGGGTTTGACTCATTTTCCAATTTTATGTGATCCACAAAACCAGTGAAAACAATCTTTGTCCCAAAAAAATAATCTTATATTAATCTTAGTTTGTTTCTTCCATTTTTATTCATTTTCTATTTTAAAAAAGTATTTATATATTTCTTAAAACTCAAAAAGTGTATATGAATGTTCGAATCAATGTTTTAAATTATGTTCCTTCTAAGAGGTGGAATAGCATAACTTAGCTGAAGCGTAACGATTACACTTATGTATGCATTGCATGTTATAATAGGTCTTATTTTCTTACTCTTTTTCGGAAGGCGATGATTATTCATAGCTATTACCTTGATACCAAAAAATTATTTGGGCTAGTGCCTTATTTCTATCTAGCTGATCCTGATTCGATATTAAAAGTATATCAATTTAGTGTTACTACTTTAGTGCAATTTTCTTTTTCTGCCCCATTATTCGCAAACAAAAAAATTATTAATAAAAGTGCACATTATCCCCAAAGGTAAGTAACCATATTAAATAAATTGTATTTTTAACTCTTTTTTTTCTCAATAATTCGTTTATCTATCTATCTATCTATCTATGTATAATATTATATGAAATAAAAAAATATTATATACAATATTATGTGAAATGAAAAATATTTGATATCCCAAATGGCCGTCCATCCAAACTTTTAAGCTAAAAATAGTAGACGAAGGTATAATATTATGTTTTCTTTTATTTGTTGTTATGAATAAATTGATGTTTCAAGTCTAACAATGTATATGCACATGCTACTATGCTATAAAGTTTCTTCTTTTAAGCCACTTATACTTGCTATACTAATAAGTTTAGATATTTAACTAATGTATATCAATTTAGAACAAAAACTGGTCGAAACTGAAATTGAATAAGAATGCACAATCCATAATTAAATTGGTAGACATACATACGTGCTACCAGTATTACTAAAGTAGAAATTAAAACTTAATATTCTATATACATTATTCAAACTAGTAAAGATGTTAATGGAAAGAATGCACAATTTATATAAACTTAATATTCTACATTATTGAATAAGAATGCACAATCCATAATCAATTATTTCTTTGTATGCATTGCATGCTATAATAGGTCTTATTCTTCTACTCTTTCCCACAAGGGGATGATTATTCATAGCTATTACCTTGATATCAAAAAAACGTATTTATTTCTATCCTAGTTGATCCTGATGCGATACTAAAAGTATATCAATTTTTTTTACTATTTTAGTGCAATTTTCTTTTTATGTCCCATTATTCGCAAACAAAAAAAGTTATTAATAAAAGTGCACATATCCCCTAAAGTAACCTTATTAAATAAATTGTATCT